TGACGCTCACTACGTTGAGACCAAGCCGAAGGACACCTTTGTGGCCATCGAGCTGGACATTGGAGAGGAGGACTTCGCATGGTTGTCCAAGTACCACTCCAAGAAGCGTGGCACAGTATGGCTGTCCAAGAAAATGGCAGAACGTGGACGTGAACTCAGTTGGAACCAGCTGACGCTGGATCAGAAGAAGGAATTCGACTTGGCGCAGGCCAAGGAAATCTCCAACGTCATCGTTTCCAAAGCGCTGCGGAATTTGACGCCCAAGGAGTTGGAAAAGCTCAACCCGGGTGCAGTGATGTCAATGCGATGGGTGCTTACAAGGAAGGCATCTGGCGATGCCAAGGCAAGACTTGTCGTTCTTGGTTTCCAAGCACACAACCTGACGGAGGTCGAGACGACAGCCCCCACAATGGGCAAAGGTGCCAAGAATGCCCTTTTAGCATTGACAGCAGCTTTGAAGTTCACTTTGAAGTCAGGAGATGTAACATCAGCCTTCTTGCAGACGGACACGTCACTTGAAGATGAAGGTCTTACAGTTTGGGCACCGCCCGAGTTAGCAAGAGCTTTTGGAGCAGAACCTGGAGATCCTCGAGCACTACGAGTGGTTCAAGCATTTTATGGTTTGGCACATGCTCCGAGGAAGTGGTTCGAGAGATGCCAAAGAACTTTGCTGGAACATGGATGGCGACAGATGAAGGCCGACCGATGCCTCTACGCTCTCTTTGCCGAGCGCAATGGTGTCACAACTCTGATCGGCCTGGCAGGTATCCATGTGGATGACTTTTTGCTGTCAGGAGATGGCTCACCGGAATTTCTTGAAGCTGAGTCCAAGCTTCAGTCAGCGTTCCGTTGGGGCAAGTGGGACCAGGATGAATTTGACTTCGCTGGCACCCACATTGTGCAGCACTCCGACAAGTCCATCACCATGAACCAGAAAGACTACACCGAGCGGTGGATCGAAGAAGTTTCCATTGACCCAAACAGATCTCGGAAGTCACCTCTGACTCCCTCTGAAGTTACTGCTCTACGAGGAGTTCTTGGGACTATCAGCTGGAGATCGACACAGACCGCTCCAGAGTATTTGGCTGAAACATCTTTACTTCTCTCTGAGATTGGAAAAGCTACCATTGAGACTCTGCACAAGGCGAACAAGCTTGTCCGCGAGATGAGACGCCGAGCTGCTCAAGGTTTACTTTTTCCAACCTGGGATACAAAAGACTTTGCAGTCATTACCTGGACCGATGCCAGTCAAGGAAACAGACCTGATCGGTCATCAACTGTTGGAATCCTCTCAGCCCTTGCACCTGCGGATGTTTTGTGGGGAGAGGAAAGGCAATTTTCAGTTTTGCAGTGGAAGTCTGGAAAAGCTCCGAGACAAAGTCTTGGATCAAATGGATCGGAAGTCCAAGGACTGACCCTTGGAGAAGATATGAATTTCCAACTTCGCGCCCTGATCGCTGAGATGCTTGGAGCTGTACCTGAACGAGGACACCTCAACGAGCATGCCAAGAAGGTGAAAGGCGCGTTGGTGCTTGATAGCCGTGGTATCTATGACGCTGCTACGAGAAACCTCAGTGGTCTACATGGTTTGAGAGATAGCCGATGCGGCTATGAGCTGACGCTGGCAGTGAATAGAGCCTATCAGATTGGCACACAATTTCGATGGGTGAATGGCTTAGCACAACTTGCGGACGCCCTCACCAAGGTCAACGCGATCAAGGTGATGCTGCAGTTCTACCAACAGAGACAGATGTGGAGACTCATCCATGATGAGAAGTTTGAGTCCGGAAGAAAGGTTCACAAGCGCATGATGCTGAAACAGCTGGAGGAACACCACATAACCTTCCTGAACCTCGTGAAGAAGCTGGCCAAGGACAATGGATATCCTTGGGATGAGAAGGAAAACTACGAGGAGTTCCACCCCTTGTCCTGACACATATGGTCAGGGGGGATGCAAGCATAGGTGGTACAGGTGACCATACATGTCACGACCGCTGCCCAGGGAGGGCTCGAGAGCCAATAGATGGAAAAGGCAGCCGTGCGCTTGCCTGCAGGACATTAGGTGTCCAACTTTTCCCTGTTAGGTAGGGACCCGTTGTGAGTGAGCTAGCGCATTTATGGTGTAAAATATGGCAGTTTCGTGCTGTCAACCTCTTGTTCATTGTACATGGTTGTGGTTTCCAAATCAGAAAAAACAAAAGAAAACACAATAGTTCAAGACTACTGGGATCAAGGTTATATATAGACTAGTACCAGAACATTGTTTTCTTTTGCTTTTCATGATGTAGGATTAATCCAGATCAATCCAGATTAGTCTTGATTACTTAAGTTGAGTTCTCATGAGCCATGTGTTGTACACAAGTTTTCGTGGTGTGTCTGCGGTTTTGGCTAGGATAGTAATAGTAGGTATGAAATCACCAATTCATGGTGTAACTTTCAAAAGAGGCAGCTGATTCAAGTTTCTTTTTGGTTAGTAAAACATGTCCTTCAAACAAACCGTTTTCCTTCCAAACAGGTGGCAACTGTGTTTCTTTGAAAGGAGTGTTACATTTTTCTTCAAGAAATGGTGCTATTTTCAAACATAAAGGCCAGCTGAGCTTCTTTGAGAGGAATGTTGCATCTTTAAAGGACACACTGCATATTTTGACACATCATTGTTTCTGTTGTTTAAGCTAAACTGTGAAAAATACGATTGCAAATTTAAGTTAAGTACTTAATCTTTGAAGAAAACAGATCTGCCTGAAGGAATGTTACCATGATAAAGGAAGAGGATGGGAATACTGTACTTTGGAACTCAATACACATCGTAGATAACACATATTTAAAAATCAAACTTTCACAAAAAGATGTCTTCCTGAAAATACACTTGACTAGCTCAAAAGCAACCACCAGCTTGTAAATGACAACAACTTTTTTGTTGAAGTGGATGCTTGGGGAGGAAAACTGCACTTCTTTGAAGAAACTCATTTCTTCAAAGCATTGTTTGCTGGGAATGTAGCACAGACATACAACTTAATAGACTATACGCAGAAATTTATCTTTGGGCAATGAAAGCAAGTGAAAGAAACTGCATTGCCTGATATTGTTTGCAATTTTGCCTTTAGCTCAATGTGTTGCATTTTCTTTGGTCAACTGCTGCACTGCGCAGCTCAAACTCATTCAACATTATTGTGTACTTCCACACCCGTTTGAAAACACCAGGGAGTTTCCTTAATTGTCCAGCTGAAATAGGCCTTGTACAGTAGATGAATTAAGGTTGTGTTTCAAAGACTACCTATTTTTTCAAAATAGTGTGGTATTGTACCGCAATTATGGAAACATGACAGTAGTGCACCCCAAAGTTTCAAGCCAATATATGTCTATTTTTCATGATGTTTGCCACACAAAAAGAAGGATAACCATTGTTTTTGAGAAGTGCATGACCTGAACTTATCCACTGTAATTTTGCATTTTATGTTATATACATACATATTCTGTTGCACCTAATGCTTCAAAGTGGAGATATATCCTGCTTTCTCTTCTAGGGTGGAATCTCTTCTTGGAATTCGCCACATTTTAAACCTAATGACTACCATTGTTCTAAACGAGTGCATTTTAAAGCTGAATATGTGTTTTTCTCTGGGTCAGGCCTCCTCCTTTTAAAGATCCTATTTGATTATGACCATTTCCCAACGGATAGCCTGGAACATGAGGAAAGCCTACTTTTCAATCTTTTCAGCGCTGGCAACAAGCCCCTCCCCTATTATAGGTAGATTGATAGATAGATAAGTAATTAGAAGAGAGAGGGGGAGAGAGAGAGAGAGAGAGAGATAGGATAGATAAATAGATACATAAATAGATAGATAGATAAATAGATGCATAGATAAGTAGGTAGGTAGGTAGGTAGATAGGTAGATTGTCAGAGAAAGAGAGAGAGAGAGAGAGAGAGAGAGAGAGAAGAAGAGAGAAAGAGAGAGAAGGAGAGAGAAAGAGAGAGAAAGAGAGAGAACGGGAGAGGGAGAGAAAGGGAGAGAAAGAGAGGAGACCTCAACCACCTTTCGGTCCATCAGTGGATTCGCTCTGCCATCCATGATTCACAACAACCAATCTCTCCTATAGGTGTCCTATTTAATTGTGAAACTTCCACCACCGCCTTGTGCGATACTACTGGTATAGATATATATATATATATATTATTTGTTTATTCTTATTTAGCTGAGTGGCAAAAGCCTCCAGGGCTTCCGTCTATAGGAGCCTGACGAGGGGGGTTCGTATACATATCCTAAGTGGCAGCGCATGCAAAACATATGTAAAACTCATATGAAGCATACACATTTACGTTGGTGGAACGTATGTGCTGCATATGTGAATTGTATGCGCAGCGCAAGTGAAAACATATGTGAGCCGTATGTTATGTGAAACATATGTGAAACACATATGGCACATTAACGTATTTTGCGACTGGATTGCGTTGTGTTTATGTTTTACTTACGCATACGTTTGCGAATTTTATGTATTTTTTGCCGGAGGAAAAGTAAGACCTTATGTTGTGCAAATCACGCAAAATAAGGCATTATTTTGGAACGCGCGTTAAAAAAAAGAAAACATAAATAGAAACATAGCAAAACGCACACGAGAACGCAAACACATTTTGTAACCTTTGTGTGTTATACATATATATATATATATACCAGAACATTCAAAGGGGTGCTGAATGGAGGTCCAAATTATACAAAGTCTAAGGGGTCATGAATGGAAACCCCTTATTTCAAATCCAATAAATCACCAACATTAACATATAACTTGGGTAATTACAACTATTTTCCCATAACCATCCTCCGAGCCAGCGGCCTCTGCCTGACCACAACTTTTCCGTCAACGAGGAGCCGGTGACTCTGGCTCGGTTGAGGGGAGCTCATCTATTTCTGTTTGAAATTGTTTTTTTTAAAGTAAAACATGGTAAAACACATATCTAGATTTTAAGTAAACCATGGTAAAACACATATTTAAACAATATATTTTCACTCCGTGAGCTGCCTCAGCCAACGGCAGCAAATATATGCTGCGTATCGCGCTAGGACCTGTTCTCCTAGTCGTTTGGGATGGGATTTAGCAGCAAGTCTTTTGACTTGCCCCACCCCATCCTCCTCCACATAGCAAGCAAGGTGAAGAGGATTGTGTTGTGGTGCATGGTCGTAGGCGATATGGTCAAGCCTTGGGTTGAAATCAATAAGCTAGAGAACCCCCTGAAGAAAACCACATGCCAAGCACATCCAAGCACATATCATGAGCCAAGCAACTTGTGATACTTGGGTCTGGTTTTCCACAACAATTTGTCATCCTTGATCGCTTCGGTTGCCAGCCCTTGGCATCACACAAATCCACAAATCATATGTGACGACAAGGACAAGTAGGAACCACACTACCCCACCCACAAAGCCCACTAAAAAAAAAAGGGACCACGACAAGGACAAGTAGGAACCACAAAACCTTTTTAAAAAAAAAAAAATCATCAACAACAACAACAACAGGGACCAAAAAACAATTGTGAGCGCAATGGAACAGGTAATTTGCCTTTTGAAGGGCTACCAGATTCGCAGGATGCAACTTGACATGGTCATTGTTGGGAGCTGACATGGCCCTCCTCATTGCTACCAAGTTGACAAACACCGATGCCCGAAGCCTTAGTTACTGTAAGTATTTGGCACCATGTTTAGGAAAACAATAGGAGTTGTGGATGCTGAAGTAGGCGGCTCTATTGCAAGGCCAAGGAGCTGTGCATGCTCATCATCAGGGTTGCGAATCGCAACATCCAAGCACACCTTTGCCAACCACTTGGCCAGCACAACAGCTTCCTTAGATTTCAATGGAAAGATATGGTCAAGCCACACGGTAGATCAACAGATGCCATGCTAACCAGTGGTTTAGGTAAGGCACTGCTGCATTGAAGTGTTTCTGCACAAGCGTGGGGTACGTTTTGTTTCCAAGTGGAAATAGATGTTTCCTTAGATGACAGACACTGGAATGTGATTTATCAAAGAGGAGAGTTGGAGGGATCATCCAAAACAGTAAAACACCACATAGTTTCAACAAAGTGCCAGACTACACAAAGCTAAGGAGCATTGAAAAAAACACCCCTCGACTTTTCACCTTGTCAGCCTTGCAAGCCTTGATAAAAGCCACGTAACCCAAACGTAGCCTTTGGTCCACATGGGTTCCTTCACCACCCCAAACAGATTCGCGAACGAGTTCAACCAACGCACTAGCTGAACATTCTGGAATCAAGCTCAAGTCAACAACGTGCAGCCAATCATGCTGGATAAAGTCCACATGAAAGCCCGGCAGTCGAACAAAGGTCTGCAATCCAACCACCTTCTCAATGAACTCGGAGGTTGACAGGCGTGTAGACCGGTGACAGGCTGACATACCATGAAAGGTATAAAGATAAGGCGAATCAACTTCACTGCTTGCTTCGCACAACATGCATACATGCTTGCTGACCGCCCCATGTGACAACCTGTACACTTTTTGCATATATTTCTCATCACCTTTATGCACCACCAAAATTCCTTTGTAGTCACCACATATTTGACCTTTTCGTCCTTTGGAGTACCTTTCCAGGGGCCTCCCCCATGGGTCAGTGTCAAGGAAGTGTCCAAGCTGCAGCTCTGTAAGGCTCCACGTTAACCAGGTATCTAAAGTGGGGACTGTCATGGGCATAGCTCTGGAGTTGTCCAACACATAGCACAGCAATCTAGTGTCAAACATGTTGCCATGCGTCAGTACTGATCCAATAGTCACGACCATAAAACTCCTTCTTCGATGTGAGTCCGCGTCATCCCCGTGAATCATCACAGGGATGCATTTTGCCAGGTCACAATCCTAGAATGGTTTCCCAAAACCCATTTAACAACATGTAACAACATATATCATCATATATCCCTGAAGCCCCAAAAGTTCACCCAAGTTCGCACAACAAGAAGCCGGCGAAGACAAGATCGGATGATCACGGAACCACTCTGTGTCCCTCATAGATTCCCAGTAGGATTCCACAGCCTGGGCAGGCCATGCTTAAGGCCGTAAACTTTTCTGAATCTTGGTGAGGAGAAAATGAAGAGGAAATCAATAAGCATGCATCCAAGCAACACCATCAGGGCCTAGAAACCGCATTTTGAAAAGTTCCCAGTCATATTTGTAGATGGATGCAAACCTAAGATGAACCCAACACAACTTGTACAAGTAGTCGCTACGAACTTCATTCACACAGGTAGTCTCTCGTAACTTTTTTCTGTCAAGTCACAAGTCACTTGGAAGAAAGACATGCCACTTGTCTAAATAGTTTGGAGACTCCCTGGACGGATCCTCAAGCACCACCTCAATCCTTAGAATCACTTCTCGCAATACACAGAGTATTTCAATGTATTTCAGGGGAAAGTGTCCCAACATGTCCCAACAAACAAGGTAGATTAACCAAAGCACTCGGTAGGTTCTGGCAACATTCTACGCCAGCTCTGATGTCGCAACCATGTCCAAAATCTCCTGGGATAATTGGAGGTATCAGATTCATCAGCAGGTAGCGTGTCGACCAACGATTTCAGATTTCTCCTGGGGCCATGGGAATACAACTGGGAACCCATAAAAGTGGGAAAGCATGACAACATAGCAGCACACCCCAATGTGAAAAGCAAACTTGTGACACTTCTCAGTGCCAAAGTTTCGGCAGATGTCGGCCCGGAATACGCTTACGTAGAACCTTGAACAGTTGAACCAATGTGGTCACACTCACCTTAGATCAGGCACACACACACCCACACACTACTGAGCTGAGTTTTTGGCATTGAACAATCAAATCAAATAATTTTCTTTCAGCCAGAGGAGATACACATGTTGCATCCATGTCACTGCTCTTGTAAGCGCCAAAAACTCCTCTACAAGATCCATGTTTCCCCAGAAGAGGGTCGAGCATCAGGCCATACGCCATGGACCCCATCGCACAGATAGAGATTATATGTCAGACCATGTCCCCATCAACTTAGGTTTGATGCCTTTGAATGGGATAATGTTGGATATTTAACATTTGTGCTTAACGATACATAGTGTAGTTTTGATAACCAGTTGATCTCTGAGGCTCTGGGCCCCAAATCTTACCGACCCAATGCTTGACACACATTTCTTTGGTGGTTGACACTCATGCTTGAACCCCCCCTTGAAAGAAGAGGCAAGAGATAATACAGGTCAGATCATGCAGGAGCTAATGGCACTTACGAAGAAAAAATGGTCGTTTCTTAAAAGGGGGTACCCCGAAACCATCCAAAATAGATCATTTAGTAGTTTATTATTGAAGTACATGGATGCCCATATTTTTGGAAATCCCCAAAATGCATTTGCCAACAAAGTATAGTGACTTTCCTTCTCCCTGTTCTCGCTCGCTTCCCGCTGTGGTGATTACCACATGGCAGGTTCTCGAAATCATCGTGCGACATTCGCACGGTTCCCCAGTGATCCCAGCCCACCCCTGAGTGGTCTAGAGTGGCCCTTGCAATGTTAGCCATAAGGGTGGCTAAGGCTAGAAATCCACCAAGGATATGATATGTTGAAACATATGATTTAAAGACGGTCGGAAGATATATTTATTGGCTGACAATAAGCTATGAATGGTGGAGTGTGGGATTTATTTTATTTCTGGTACCCATAATGATACTTCACAACTTAATATATATGTTTTTTGGGGTAAATGAAATTCCTCCAAAAAGGTTAGGTCTAACTGGGGCCATCGAATTGTATCCGGTTATCACAGAAATCTTCCTGTCGGACTTCACATCTACAACTACCACAGGGCACAGGAACAGAGCCCATTTTGGAGGAACCAGACCTCAAAAGTCAAAAGGCTATGTCCTGGCTGATGTGTGGGGTCGCTTTGGCGTTTCCCTTGCAAACAAGATCAATCAGAATGATGAATTGTGCGAGGAGGACACCCACAAGCAGTGTTTCAATCAAGATTCAGCGATGACTAGCTGGATGCACCTTGCCACAGATATGGCCTACACTCCGCTGGCTGGTATGTGCTACAACATCAGGGTGGATGCAAATAATATAAACTAGTATTAGCTACAATAAGCATTGATGGATATATTAATTGTATATAATGTTTGTCATGATCAGGGACCATACCAGGAACCAAGTACACCAAATAGCAGTTGTTGAACCAACCTTAACAAAAATGATGGTTATTTTCGATCTCAGAAAATTGGTAAAACTTAATGCCCTACTAAGTTTCTTCCAACTTGAGGTGTGTAGGGATCAGTCAGTTTCATCAGAAGCACCGTCATCTGCCGTATTGACAGCAGCTTTGGGACGTGGGCCTTTGGCCGCAGTAATACGCCGTTTGGCGTCCTTAACATCAACATCAACAGTCTTCAAAACAGCCTTTTGTTCATCTATGAACTCACCAACCTGCACTGGATCGATCTCAGATGCAGGGGTCTTCATCTCGTCAGTGACTTTCTGAAACACTTCATCCAGCGTGGGGATGTGGGCGTTCAGGCAAACCACCTTAAGCCAAAAGGCACCGTATGTTTTACTAAGGTGGGATTTCAAAATGTTTGCATAACATAGTTTGGAAATTCTCCATGTAGGACATCCCACCAATAAAGATACAGCCAGGGAACCAGCTCACCACAGTTTCGCACATTCTCGTCATGTATGCTTCGGATGCAGCCAGGCACTGCGTTGACCAAAGCCTTCACCCTTAGTTGTTGGTTCAACTGTGAATTTAAATTGGAGAAAATAAGACCACCACATGGGCAAGAGACAGTGTGGGAAAATGTAAATACAATAAATACAAAAATCCATCATCCCAAACAATCGAATCTAATCACAGGGACGTACACTGGAACATACATCCTATTGCAGTTTAGGGTCTTCTTTTCAAAAGCCTTGAGGTCGGCCACTGCAATTTCAGTGGCCGTTTTCTCTTTTTTCGGTTTCTTCGCCTTAAAGGCACCTGACTCAAGATCCATCAGGGCTGGTTCACTGAAGTCACCGATGTTCTTCGCAATCATCTTTTTGGCAGCAGCATCTTTAACTCGGCCTCCCACTGACACCTTAGCTTCTGGGGTAGCACAGGAAACATATAAATCACATGTCGTGGAGGGACCCCTGGAAGCATATTTAAGTTATGAGTTTTTGTGATGCAACATATGCACAACTGTTACACTGTAAAATCGTAAAGCTACACCATGGCACTTGGCATGAAGCTCCTATTGTTTGTTTTCCGTAACAGACACTGGGATAGCTGATAGCATTGAACATCTTTGGGGTTGCCAACCCAATATGTGGAAAATAAAAATGCCATAATCTAAAGTAGAAAGCAACCTCTGGAGTACACATTCCAATATATCCCCAAATTATAAGGTACCAGGTACTATGGAATCAAGTAAGTCCATAAGTTTGGGTATGATAAATTGGCGCCCAAATTATCCCACTGAACTACATTGATTTGATAAACTCGATAGATAAATCAGAAGTTCGATAGGCACCGACTTCACCATAATTCAGATATGGATCCACACTGTCCCGGGAAGAACCCGTAGCATTGTCTTGTGAGATCTCCCGGAAGACTTTGTACATTCTTGCTTTTGGGTTGTCCGGTGCCTGCGCCAGTCGGTGCTCCGGCTTGACTGCCCGCACTGGTGGTCATTGAACATCAGAACCAAGACTCAGGACAAGTTGGGCCTGTGGGTGAGGAACTCCTTTCTGGCCTGGGCGAATGCGTTGTTTCGATAACCACGCTAGGGCACTAAACCAAATTGTGGGTGGAAGAAATCCTGCACCAGTTGATTTGTGGTTTATCTATCTCATTATACAGCTTCAATCTTCTAAGGTGGTGCACGATTTATTCCATCCACAGTAGGTGTCAGAATCCTACCTTTAAACATAACCAAGTTACCTTTGATCAGTGAAGCAATGAATTCTTTGGCTTCACGTGACTTCCCATATTGCTTTTCGAGCTGCAACAGGCTAACCTGAATGATCACAATGTCGAATGTTTCAAGTTATGTAACGTAAACACGTTGGAAGATGAAACATAATTGTTCATGTACAACAAGGAACTGTGGAGTAGTGGTCAGTGCGTGTCTCAGATGCCGTAACACGATACTTCTCCTCCACCTCCACATCGCTGAGATCGGGGTTGGCAATCCATGCCTGAAGCATCTGGAACCTTAGATGACCAGGGAGGTAGCTAGCTAACAGTATCCCCAATATTGATTTACCATGATGGTCTGTCAATTATTTCAAGTCAAAGGGCCGTTCCTTGTCGCTGGCCATTTTGAATTTCTGAAGCAGGGCTGGGTTTGCCTCCTTAATCACTGCACGTCGCCTCAGATGAACCCACCATGATGCGATATATAGATCTATACGAAATATTGTTGGGTTGGCTATACTTAGTGGGGATGACATGTTATGCTGATGCATAATGACGATCAGAATTAACAAGTAAACCCAAGTTACATTGCAGCATATTGTCTTTTTCTCTCCGAGTAGTCCATTTCGCTAGCCTTACTCATTGACAGGATTGCATCTTTGGTGTTCTCGTCAATGACTGTCATTCTAGCAATCCTGCCCCGGTGTTCGCTGGGTAGAGAATCTTCATCGATGTCTGATAGCGGCGTCATTGATGCCTGCAGCATCAGGGGTAGTCACATGGTTCAAGTGGGATGTGGGATGACCAACCCATAAACCAAAAAAATGCGCAGGGACCAAAACAAAACCCCATCAGCTAAGATCTTAAAGCCAGCAAATAAATCTCACTTGATATTGCCTCCCAATAGGTCAGCAGTTTAGAATTAGAAATGCCCAACCTCAGAAGAGAAGGAAATAGCTCGGCGGGGAGTGTTAATCTCAAGCGAGTCAACCGTGGGGAACTTTTCCAGCTTCGACAGAGGGTCCTGTGACAAATGCATCTGACAATCTGACATATGTTTCATCACCAGGGTGACCCAAATCTATCACCAAATTTTAGTAGTTGCATTTTTGGTTTAATATCCATGTGCTTCAGTATCGACCCTGGAAATAAAAATATAGAAAATAACCTTAACTTCACATAGTAAAATACTAAGTGTACATCACCGAAGCTATAGTCTCCCCAGCCCGAATCCTTGTTGAACACATGTTCTTTTGGGGACAATTCGTTTGTTGTCTTCTTGCTTTTCTTGTCACCTGCAATGATGGGAGCACTTGCTGCATTGGCTTGTTCTTTCTTGTCCTCAATGGCCAGCTGGCTATCCTTGGGGCCACCTGTTTTTCTTTTCTTGGCTTCATTTGGGCCCAAACCAGTATCAAGCTGATTTGATCTCTTGAGCTTATCCTTGACCTCATTGTTGGCTCCTCCTGGAGTAGCTTTGTTGTTGACCGGCACATGTGCGGTAGGTGCTGCGCTTGTGGCTTGGGGCTCCTCTGCAGTGCTGGGCTCCTTGGGGGTCTCAGCCTTTGATTTCTTTGTCTTGTTTGCGTCTTGGGTCTGGGCATCCTTTTTGCCGTTCTTCACACCTTCATCCTTCTTGGGGGCTGGCTGGGGCTCCTTCGGCTCAGCTTGCTGTGTCTTGTCTTTCTTCTTGGCAGGTGCTGCGCTTGTGGCTTGGGGCTCCTCTGCAGTGCTGGGCTCCTTGGGGGTCTCAGCCTTTGATTTCTTTGTCTTGTTTGCATCTTCGGTCCGGGCATCATCTTTGCGCTTCTTCACTCCTTCATTCTTCTTGGGGGCTGGCTGGGGCTCCTTCGGCTCAGCTTGCTGTGTCTTGTCTTTCTTCGTGGCAGGTGCTGCGCTTGTGGCTTGGGGCTTCTCTGCAGTGCTGGGCTCCTTGGGGGTCTCAGCCTTTGATTTCTTTGTCTTGTTTGCGTCTTGGGTCTGGGCATCCTTTTTGCCGTTCTTCACACCGGCATCCTTCTTGGGGGCTGGCTGGAGCTCCTTCGGCTCAGCTTGCTGTGTCTTGTCTTTCTTCTTGGCCAGTGCTGCACTTGAGGCTTCAGGCTCCTTTGGGCCACTGGGCTCCTTGGGGGTCTCAGCCTTTGATTTCTTTGTCTTGTTTGCATCTTCGGTCCGGGCATCATCTTTGCGCTTCTTCACACCTTCATCCTTCTTGGGGGCTGGCTGGGGCTCCTTCGGCTCAGCTTGCTGTGTCTTGTCTTTCTTCTTGGGCAGCCAACCACTTGTGGCTTGGGGCTCCTCTGGGCCACTGGGCTCCTTGGGGGTCTCAGCCTTTGATTTCTTTGTCTTGTTTGCGTCTTGGGTCTGGGCATCCTGTTTGCCGTTCTTCACACCTTCATCCTTCTTGGGGGCTGGCTGGGGCTCCTTCGGCTCAGCTTGCTGTGTCTTGTCTTTCTCCTTGGCAGGTGCTGCGCTTGTGGCTTGGGGCTCCTCTGCAGTGCTGGGCTCCTTGGGGGTCTCAGCCTTTGATTTCTTTGTCTTGTTTGCATCTTCGGTCCGGGCATCATCTTTGCGCTTCTTCACACCTTCATCCTTCTTGGGGGCTGGCTGGGGCTCCTTCGGCTCAGCTTGCTGTGTCTTGTCTTTCTTCTTGGCAGGTGCTGCACTTGAGGCTTGGGGCTCCTCTGCAGTGCTGGGCTCCTTGGGGGTCTCAGCCTTTGATTTCTTTGTCTTGTTTGCGTCTTGGGTCTGGGCATCCTTTTTGCCGTTCTTCACACCGGCATCATTCTTGGGGGCTGGCTGGGGCTCCTTTGGTTCAGCCTGTGCTTTGTCTTTCTTCTTGGCAGGTGCCGCACTTGAAGCTTCGGGCTGTTTTGGGCCACTGGGCTCCTTGGGGGTCTCAGCCTTGTCATGTTTCTTCGCTTTTCCCTTTGGCTCTGCCACATCAACCTCCTTTGTCCCATCATCCTTCTTCCTGGGGTTCTCGTTCTTTGACATGTCCTGCTCTTTCTTCTTCCTCTCTGCTAGGTCTGCATTCTTTCTAAGGCTTTCCCCAACCCGGATCAAACTTTTCAACTCAGCCTCCTCCTCATCCAATTCCTTTAATACTTTTTTTCTCTTACTCTCCATGGCCTTGTCATTCTTTGTTTTCACCGTCGTTGCCTTCATCTTTCTCATTTCCTCAGGGCTCACCTGGTCAGGGGCACGGACGCAAACATGGTGAGGTGATGAGGGATACCTGGTGATGTTTGGTAATATATTCAAACAGTTTGTTTTATAAATGCAATAGTGATAGTGCCAAAACAATCATATATATATTAGAAATTGTGCAACCACACCTCGCCCAACGGGGCCATAGTCCGAAGTCCCAATTGGCCAAAAAATGGCTCGTATCCCCTAAGAGCCAAGATTCTCATACGGCATTTTTTTTTGAAAAAACACATTTTTGGGAAAAACTGACACGCGAATGACACGCACCCACCGTACCCTGAAAAATCTGACACGCAGTTAAGGGGTTCTCATTCATAACCCCTTAACCTAAGGGGTCATGAATGGGCACCCCCTCCATATCCCGTCCGACACGCAATGACACGCATTGACACGCACCCTTCAGGAGATTTTTGAAGATTTTTACAATCCAAAGTACGAATCCCCAGATCTTGGTGGTCAGGTGGTTTGTATATATTTTTCCCTATTTCATACCCCAAAAGAATATATACGATACTAAATTACGGGTTTTGTTCAATATAAGAATTGTGAGTGTATCATTTCCCACATCAATGAACCAATATCATTGATGTATTTTACCAATACCTAATGATGATGCTAGTTTGTTCTTGCTAGCAAGTTTGGTCTACCATTAATACATATGCACAATTCCTTTTCAAAAGTTTGCTCGCTACATCTCACTACTGCCACTGTGGGCTTGGAGAATATATCTTTTTGATAGTGACCCCATAATTCACTACAACAACTATTCATAGTTGTTTGAGTTGAAGATGCTATATGTTTGAAACATAATCAAACTACATAATGGGGTTCTATCAGAGATGTCTCCACCACGTGTGTTTGGGGCCCTTGCAAAAATCATCCAAGGACCCCAAATGGTCATTTCCCGATCTAAAGTTAGCATCTAAGCTGAACTCATCCGGTGGAGGTCTGTTCGAGCGTGAACCGATTAGAGATGCCACTTCATATCCAAATTCCGAAGGATAGGTGGCCGAGTTGGACAATTCCTTCTTGTTTCCTGCCTAGGCAGCAGCCCCCAGGGGAAACAATAAGGCCATATTCAAGGACAACTTAGATGGTTATTTGAACATTTGACCATGTTCTAAAGGGATACCATACTGATGAATTAGTATGTGTTAAAACCAAATCACCAGAATAAACTATTGATATACTATATGATATATGCAAACCCCAAATGATTTCCACCAGGATCTGATACTCAACATTTTTAATAATATAGTTTAACCATAAAAAAATGAGGATAGGATAACGTAACATAAACAATGGTGAAGACCAACTTGGATTGCCAAGAAACAACTCTGGTTCGACCGTCTTTCCCCTTCTTTCTCTTTACTAGCTTTGGTTTCTCATCTTTCCTGACCAGCAGTATGATAGTGTCAAACATGTTCATGTTTTGAACAGAAACTAGTCGAAGATGTTGGAGCCACACCCCATCTGTCCTTGCTAAGGCCTGCATCAGAAGCTTGTAGCCACAGCAACGACGCAGCTTCCCAAGCAATGGCAGGTTTCCATACAACCTGGGTTGCTGGGTATTATGAAATAGAAGAAAAGTAAATCAAACAATAAACTTAGATATCATTGGTTCACATGGATATCGAACCCTGTCTTGGATTTGTTATGGTACTAGATGTTACTAGTAGGGTAACCCATCAAGTGGTGGATCTACTGAGAATAGAATAGGTTGTTTTGATGTTTTGTTTGAGGGGGGCTTTCAGAAAATCAATGTATTTGAGCAACTCAACCACCAGCTTTGTTACCAAAATTGCTTCCAAGTTACACTGTCCATTTCAATGTTGGAGAACCATAAGCCCCCATAGGGAAACTCACCCGCCTGCCAAGGGTTTTACCGGGTACTTGGTGTAAAGGTTCGGTCTAGAAAGGGAATCAAAGCAGTTATGTAGAACATTCCAAAATAGATATCCCTTCATAGCCAATAATTGACATCAAGGGTTTACACATGTAAAATTGTACATAGCAAGTGCCTTGCTTTGCACCAACGCAAAACTCGAGATACTGGAGGCCAAGCAAAAAGGACCTTATTTGTGTTGAGCACTGGTGATATGGTAACCTTTATATCATCTATGTGGAAATATTTGTATGAATCATGAAGCATGTATGCAAACTATGTTATATCAAACACAGGCCCAGGCTGATGTCAGAGGCTGCTCTATCACTATGTGCACACCTCGCTGATGTGCATAGTAAATCCTTGGGAACATCACGAAAAACACTTTGGCAACATATGGTGCCCATGGTTAAACAGGATCCTATGGTGAAAAAAAAGTATCTGTATCCGATTGTTGACACACGAATGCAATGTTAGGCTAAGTTTCACATAGAGCATTCGCATCACAAAAACATTTGCGAGTTGCACCATCTTTGAAGATCCACCTTCTGGATTCCACCAATTTCGTTTCGTCGTCCCCTGACTCCTTGGCAGCGCACAAATGATTCAGCCAGATTGCTTAAAACAAACCCAAGGAAACCCATGTTTTTTTAAGTGTGGTATTGTAATCACATCCAAACCATAAAAAGAAACTGGGTAGTGCTACAACCAGTGGGTTATCTTCCACAGCTTTGAGCATGTGAACCACACCATTGATCAATGATTGTCTTGTCGTGGAATACCTTAAGAAGCTGGTGACTTATGAAGTTACAAAGAATCTTCACTGGCTGCTACGAACTTCAGTGCCACGGGAACCATGAGCCACAAGAGGACTACAACTGTGTTTGGCCGTTCATGGATCTTTTCGCCTGAACCACCTTGAACCTTTGGACAACTACTCAGCATGAGGAGCCTATGAACTTTGCAGAGCCAGCATGCATGTGCCATTTCCAGTTTAAGGCTAAGGATTGTGGTCCATCTTAACATCCCGTGGATAACAATGGTTATTAATATTATTATCCCCAACATGGATGCCAAAAAAAAACCAAGCATCAAGAAAATCCACGATGCACAAGGTGGTGCAAAGAATAGCAATCCACCACGGCGGGTGTTACGAACCTCAAAATTGTAAAATCAAAATCTTCCCCAACAAACTGACCCAGCAGTCCCCTCAGTGACTATAAGTTCAATACTTTCATTTGGCTGAGCAAGATACTGCAGCCAGCACTGCCAAGAACCCGATGGTCCGTAGGAAATCATGATTGCGAGAGTATCGCACCTGGGCTAAGAAGAAGGTAACTATGGGACGGAGACCCTAATGTTCTGAAAATTACCCATGCTTGCCCCTTTTGAATATGTAGCCACACAACATCGACAAATAAACTATATGGTAAAAACAACATGTTTAGAATTTTTAGTTTGATGGGCATGGAGTATGATAACCCACACCCACCAACCACGGTTGTTGAACCAAGAATCGTCAAACGCTTTGGTCTTCAGACCACAGTGGCAGAGGGCTCTGGAGAGATTTGCTTCCCCAGCACAAACTTCTACCTCAGGGGCCAGGTTTGCGAAGGGGGGGCTTCATAAATAAATAAATAAACACACTCATTTGATAACAGGGTTTTGCATTGATTCATCAAATTTTACATTTGTCCAAGGTGCACAATCCAGGGCTTCGCTTTCACGTGGCACCGGTATTTGTTCCAGCAGGGTCAAAATAGATAGCAATAGAACTGGGTTCATTTTAAATTCAGTGGTAATTACCACCCTTTGGGCCTCATTGCTGTGGGATAAAACATGGATACCGCGTGCCATCCTGCAAAACCCCGATAGTCACATGAGGCAAACTGTCAACAGACCAAGTTTCTCCTGAACATACTACAGGCTGGGCGGACACGGCGCAACGTTTTCTACAGCTGCCACCCCAAAGCATATATGTGGCCAATGCCAAGCACCCAAAAGTTCCAAATGTGTAGTGGGACCATACACGGTGTTTATTCCCGGAAAGGTGATATCAAATGACTTGTATTATGGATTTGGGGGGTGATGGCTTAGCCTCTGAATTGCAACGAACGCATGTTCCAAACATTTTGTCAGGAAGTAAATAGCATACCCTTCCCTCCTGCCCTTCAACACGACTGTAACTGTGTTATCTTGAATTGTCACCAAAGAAAACAAAATGAACCCTAAAGATGCAATAACGAATTGACTTTTCACTGGCATGGGGAAGGGATATGCCCCGTAGCGTGTCTCAAAAGTTGGGATACCAACTGACACAGTCATAGCTGCTGGTATGTTCATCACTAATATGTCAGAATACCCTTTTTCTAAGTAAGATGTGGGACCAAACCAAAGTTACTTGGGATTGAACCAATGCCAAGGCGCCTATGTTTTTTGAAAGATAAACATGATATGGTTCAAAAAGGAAAATATGGGAACGACATGGTTTGAGGACACTATTAATTTAACTTATGAATTCAATTTGGTGGGATTTCATCTGTGTTGCCAGCAGCTGTTTATGCAACTTTAGCTTTCTTCTTACTGGCACCCTTAGCAGATGCTGCCTTTCTGTTTTTTTTGGCAGCCGGAACAGTCTTCACCTTGTCCTTGTTCATCTCGTCAATCAGCCTGGGCTTTGTAGATTGCCTAGACGAACAGATACAACTATATTTTATGTGGGGATGTGTCAAGAGAAGGGGACCCAAAACCTCAAGAATTAAGCCATGTTTTAAAGGTTTTGGACACCACCTTTTTGAGACGATTTAATATAGTTCACGGCTAAGGGCAAAGATCCATCACTACATCGTTTCCATATGTTTCCACTGACATCAGGTGTTGGAATGGTTGTGAACATAAACAGTGTCAAACCAGGTTGGAAACCACCCAGTCCCACACAGGATACACTCAGACTAGGGACCTTTTGCGGGTCTGCTTGACCTTATCCTCAGGGTCTTTGAAACCAGCAGCCTTTGCTTCCTTCCTAGGTGCCACATTGTGCAATAAATTCATTCGACCTTAAATTGGGAATGTTTCAACATGGTGCAGTTTGTTTTACTTCCTTAAGTGATTGTTTTGACACTGAAAAAATTGGCATCTCGATTTGAACCATTTCCAGTTGAAGAATGATGGGTGGACTGCCTTAAAAAATATCGGGGATTGAATATAGGAGATTTAAAAGACATAATAGCCCAGTAGATGCCCCCAAGTACAATGGCACAAGAACAAGTGCTGAATTCAAATGACCCAGAATCAACACATACAGCTGTCGCTTCTGAGGTGTCACCCATACACAATAGAGCTGGTCAATAGCCTTGCCCTTTGTGCGTCGCCGTATTTCGACCGTCCACCCATCCTGCAAGATGACCGTTTCCATCAGCACATATTGCCTTAGACCCAGGATACTTTAAACCCCAAAATGCCCGCTCAGAGGGGTAACCAGCAACAAATCAATTGACTCAATATTTATACCATGTACCCCATGTTGTTTTTAGTTTACATTGTCCCTAAAAACTATATGTACCCCATTCCACACCAAGACCATGAAAGTCAAGAGTAAAACTATAGGACATGTTACGCTCTGGGTTCTTTATCCTTCTTTTGGTTGGCCAAAGCCAGTTGCTCTGAAGGTAAAGGCACTGGTCCAACCGCCTTTGATAATGCCATTTGCTGACATTTGGATATGGCGACTTGGTAGTGGGAGTCATCAAACACACTGTAGGCCTCGAACTTCACTTCCGCAAGCTTTGTTTTTGCCTGCGTGTGGCCAGTTCGATAGCTACAACTTGGATTATTAGACAAAGGTGTTTATGTCCGAACCAGTGAACCTGCAGGGGATGTGAACCTACACACCATGCGTAAGATAGCTCTAAGTTCGAAATTAACTAGGTAGCCCTTTCGAGTTCAAGACTCAACACCTGAGGGGCAAGGGTCGCATCATGTTTGCGGCCAGGCCGGCCTCCTTCTTGACCTCTGCCTCCACGGTCTTTGCAGAGGCCCGCTTTTTCGACTGTGGGGGAGACAGTTTCGAGGCAGCCGTTGGAACTGAATCCAATTGACCACCTCAATCACCAGAGTTGACCACTGGGAGGTTTTGATTGGAAGGACATGTTCCTCAAATGTCTTATAATATCTTATAATTTTGTATGGGAATACAAGGGATGCAATTCTTCTGGTAAAGGCTACTTAAAACATAATCACTAGGTTTGATTTAGATAGGCCCAGGTACGACTTTTGCTCCGGATGCGATGTGTAGGTGTAACCACCAAAGGTGCAGGCTCAGATTTTACCTGCACAGGATAGTCAAACATAAACCCACAAGATTTGAATTTTAGTGGTTCTGGGTTCATAACATTCGGTATGCAACTAAAAAGTAAAATTGTTGATAGCAAATCCCAGAAACTTTCATCATCTCTCTGTAGGTTGAAAGGGCTGTTTCTAGACTGACTTGCTTCTTCCCGAGAAGTTTGTCCAGCTGTTTCTGGTAGGACCCATTGTCTACATAGGTAGATTTCTTGGTTTTGCTCCATCTCTTCAAGTTTGATTTTGGATATTGCTCATTTATGGTGAAACCAGCCTTCTTTCCTTCCTCATCACCTCCTTGATCATCAGATTTCTCTCCATCTTGTGCATCATCATCGCTGCTCTCATCACTTGTGTCTGTGCTGCTTGTGCTTGTGCTGCTGCTACTACTGGAACTGTCATCATTTGAACCATTTTTGTTCCCTTCCATTTCATCGTCGGACTTGCCTCCACCCCCAGACTCCTCATCGGAATCATGGTCTTTGCTTGCTTCGGTTTCTTTGTTCTCAGTTCCCATTGCAGGACCTTCATCATCATTGTCACTATCTTCTTGGCTGCCACCGTTTTTTGCTTCATTATCCTTTTCCTCATCATCCCTTGACACACTGCGTGCAGCCTTGGCTCTGGGGCTGTCACCCGCAGACTCTCTCTCCATCTCATGGGGTCGTTTCTTGGGCTTCGGCATGTCTCCACATTCCTTGTCTTCTTCATAGTCATCCTCATCATCATCATCATCATCACAGGCTTCTGACTCCTGTCCTTCATCCACCGCTTCTTCCTGCGCAGCCTCATGGGTCTCATCACCACAGCTGGCAACTTGTTCGGGTTCTTCTTGGTGCTCCTCATCTTCTGAGTCATCCAGTGGGGTGGGCGGTACTTCTTGCTCGTCATCACCATCATCAGCTGCTTCAGCTCGCTCCTCATCATCACTGATAACTTCAGGATTGCCATAGCTTTCCATCTCATCAATCTGTTCCTCCAACTCATCTCGCATCCTCTCCAAATCTCTTAAATCATCCCAGATTTGTCGCCTTGGGCTGGTGTGGTTGCTGCAGCAACACTCTCCGGGTGAGGGAGGGGGTGATGCTGCTTCATCTGGGGTGTGTTCTGCTTCTTCTTCACCTTCGTTGGCTTCTTCCTCATGATCCTCCTCCATTTCATCACCGCCATCTTCGTTGCCTTCACCTGCACCTTCATTATCCTGTTCTCTGTCACCACCTCCCTTGTCATCATCATCACTTGCATCATCCTTTTTGCAGACCTGTCCTTCCTCTTCTTCCTCATCGCTGCTTGCATCCTCTGCCTTGGCACCATGCTGTGTTGATGCTTCTTCCTCACCAAGTGCTTCATCGGCTTCTGACTCATCTTCTCTCTCCTCTGCCTTTGCCTCTTCTACCTTGCCATCATCTTGGTCGACCTCTTCATCACTGCTTGCATCATCGTCCATGCCAGCATTTTTCTCGGGTCTTTCCTCTGCCTGGTCTTCATCATCATTTGCATCATCCTTTTTGCAGACCTGTCCTTCCTCTTCTTCCTCATCGCTGCTTGCATCCTCTGCCTTGGCACCATGCTGTGTTGATGCTTCTTCCTCACCAAGTGCTTCATCAGCTTCGGACTCATCTTCTCTCTCCTCTGCCTTTGCCTCTTCTACCTTGCCATCATCTTGTTCGACCTCTTCATCACTGCTTGCATCATCGTCCATGCCAGCATTTTTCTCGGGTCTTTCCTCTGCCTGGTCTTCATCATCACTTGCATCATCCGTTTTGCAGACCTGTCCTTCCTCTTCTTCCTCATCGCTGCTTGCATCCTCTGCCTTGGCACCATGCTGTGTTGATGCTTCTTCCTCACCAAGTGCTTCATCGGCTTCTGACTCATCTTCTCTCTCCTCTGCCTTTGCCTCTTCTACCTTGCCATCATCTTGGTCGACCTCTTCATCACTGCTTGCATCATCGTCCATGCCAGCATTTTTCTCGGGTCTTTCCTCTGCCTGGTCTTCATCATCACTTGCATCATCCTTTTTGCAGACCTGTCCTTCCTCTTCTTCCTCATCGCTGCTTGCATCCTCTGCCTTTGCCTCTTCTACCATGCCGTCATCTTGCTCAACCTCTTCATCACTGCCTGCATCATCTCCTTTGGTCTTTGGGGCCTCCTCGAAGAACACTTGCTCTTTGACCTTTCTTTGGTCCTCACAGTGGGATGGAGCACAACCAGGCATGGAAGCAGTAGAGTCCCAAACCCAGAAACCTAACAATCTGAATATATTGTATCAACACATGATCCAAACATCACTATGTAGCAATAATTTGAATATATTGTATCAGCACAGGATCCAAACATCACTATGTAGCCCATTGGAACCCATAATTACGGTAATGATAAATTCCAGTTTGGAGAGGTGTTATCACCTATCGGGATTACAAACATATATATAACGATGTTTTGTA